CTGCCTTCGGCTCAGGTCATGATCTCAGGGTCCTGGGATCGAGCCCCATATCGGGCTCTCTGCTCAGCAGGGAGCCTGATTCCCTTCTTCTCTCTCTGCCTACCTGTGATCTCTGTCAAATGAATAAATAAAATCTTTAAAAAAAAAAAAAAGAGAGAGAAAGAAAAATAAGATTGTAATACTACACTACATCAAAGATGCAATTAATTTTGTAGATAAAATTTAAAAACTGAATTTTTCATTTTCCTACAAAAATGGACCTTTCTGCAAATAAATTATTTCTAAATACTACAATAAAGTTGTTTTCATTGGTTACACTGTGTGTGCCCCCCCAAAATCAGTATCTAAGACTGCCACTTTCTATACATTCCAAATGAAGTAATATATACCAAAAAATTCAAACTTACTTCTAAATCTCCTTTACAGGAGATTATATATTTCATGGTAAATATTTACAGTTTATTTACTATGAAATAAGCTGAAAACTTGAAGTAACATTACCTATTTTAATGACCCTGATAACCCAAAAACATGTAAAAAGCAGTACTTTTCAGCTTTATTCTCCACATATTGGTTAAACTAGGTAAATATGAATTTCTTGGCTAAAAAATACCATAAAAATTTTTTTAAAAAACATAAAAACAGACTTAAAAAAAAAAGTAAGTTTAGGAATTATTAAAAACTTACATTTATTAATAAAACCTGGGAGCATTATCAAATTTTAAAGCCAAATACTAGCAATAATTTTTTTGACAATCTCTCTTAGGAATGGGAATTGGTAAATTCTTGAAAGCATTTAAGGTTACAGCAACTCGGAGCTGTTCAATTTATTCTATGCAATTATTATAGTACCACAAAGGATTATTTAATTTGTTTTTACAACCAAAATCTAACACAAATTTATCCCTGAAAATGGGTTTGCATATTTTTAAAATAATGATCATTTAACTTTCATAAGTATCTAAGTTTAAAGCAAATAGGACCCAGTGAAATATGAAACTTTCCAAGAAGCTCAAAATCTAAGCTCCTTTGAAACAAGCATGACTCCATTTTACAAAGTCACTTTGTCTAAAGCAGATGATACTAAAAGTAAAATTCAAAAGAAGATACCATGGTTAAAAAACAGAATGAAACAACAAAGAAAAAAGAAAAGCATGGATTCTGTTCAGGACAAAATGAGATCACATTAGGGAAGCACAGAATCCATTAAAAGTTTGTTTCCTCCACATCTGTATTTTGTTATCATGAATGTTGCTTGCAAAAAGCAAGACAGAGATAAGGTCTCCAAAATGTTTTGTTATACACACAGTTTGCTGTAACAGAAAATGACTCCTTTGTCATTTCCCTACAGAAAACAATCTCTCCTGCTTTTAGAAACCTCCTAAAAGAACAAACATCTTTCTACTATTTATATTATAAAACCTCTGTCGTAAGTCCTTTCATCTAAGGGTGGAAAGCAAATCTGTTTTACTTATTTCTGTACTTCTGTCCCTAGCAGAGTGCTGGAGGCACTGTGCATGAACGCACTCATTCAATTATTTACTCACTCATTCAGCAAGTATTTACTGAAAACTTACTTGTGCCAAATACTACGTAAGTAGTGAGTGTGCCAGTCACATGACAAATGAGAGTCCTACCTAGGTAGCTTATAGTCTAGTGAGGGAGTCAGACATTTATCAAATAAGTAAAGAAATAATTAAGTTCCTATTGTGATGATGCTACAAAGTGAAGGTGAAGATACACTGGGAACTTACTATAGTAAGTTCTAATTTTAGGAAGAAGGGTCTAAGAAGGTCAGGTAAGGTTCCTCTGAGGAATGACATTAAAACTGAAATCTGCAAATTAACTATGTGTTTTGCCAGATTTAGGAAAGGGAGGGAGAACAGTCCCACAGGAGATGGAATATGTACAAAGGTTCCTAAGTCAGGAAGGAACTTATGTAATAACTGAAAGGTGCAGTAAATAAGAAAGGTTGGGAATAAGTACAGAGAGCTTGAAGGGAAGCAAAGGATGAACTGTCAGCATTAAAGAAAGAGTATGAGGGGAAGAGAATTTGAATATTTAAGTCATTTTAAGTCCTCTTCTCATATAAAATAAATTATTTTAGGAACCCAGTCTTTATTCTATAATAGTAATATCTATAACCAGAAGACCTGGCTTATACCTTAATCCCACCAATCACTAGTTTCATGACTTTACACTTAACTAATATGAACGTCTTCGTTCTCTGTGTAAACAGGTACTCAATTATTTTACCTACTGGGAATGCAATGATAATACAGAGTCCTGTTCTCATGACCTTCTACCCTCAACAACAGATGTATATGGGAGACATCTTAAGTCCTGTAAGAGATGATGTCCAAAAGTGACACAAGGCTCCTGCAAAACCAAAAATGAGAACAAATGTGGATACTGGTGAACTGCAAAATGTTATAAAAATACAAGTATACACATAACTCTGGGAACCCTAAATTCTTCAATGTGCAGAGATCCAAAGTGACCACAGTACACCAGCATGTGACTGAAAGATGATAAATATAATAAAAACCTTACTCCATCACTGCAAATAGATGAAATATCAAAACTATAACTAGCCTAAGAGATGAAGAGTAATGACAGAACTGAATCCAGGACAAAAACTAACACACACTGAACAAGTACATTAAATTAATTTTACTTGTTTCCAAATTTTCCTGACTTTTAATTCAAAAGCTCATTCCACAACCTCATAGCTGCATTCCAAAAGTTAGAGAACTCCCTTGATACTTCCCCCAACAAAAAGGAAATGCCTACACTGCCACCTAGAAAACACACTAATACTCTTGCTTTACTATCACTAACTCATGTTCAGTTTACTTGCACTCTATGTAAACTACCATTTCCTCTTGTAATATAGCATAGAGCCAGTTATCCCCAAATAATTTTGTTTAGGTGGTCTTCCTTCCTTGTATATTGCATTACTCATGATGCTATGTTACTCCAATACTTCCTACTTCATTCTGTAATATTGTATCTCTATTCTATGTTAAAGGTTATATTAATTTCCCTGGGACGCCTGGGTGCCTGTTAGTTAAGCGGCTGCCTTCAACTCAGGTCATGATCCCAGAGTTCTGGGATTGATCGCATCCGGCTCCTTGCTCAGCAGGGAGCCTGCTTCTCTCTCTGCCTCTGCCTACCACTCTGCTTGCTTGTGCTCTCTCTCTCTCTTTGACAAATAAATAAAAATAAAATCTTAAAAAAAAAAAAAGGTTATATTAATTTCCAGACCATCTTAACTTCAATCATACAGGAACAATACACAATATATGATCCTAGAAAGCATTTTTGTATTCAAAAGTTAGACACTGTTAATATTCGCAGAATACATTCAAAAAGCAGAATATTTCAATGGTCAACTTATACAATAGTAAACCAGGATTAACTGCTAGCTATCAGTAGATACTGAATTATTGCACATAAACATCACAAAAGAAATTCTGATGTCAAAAAACACACATCTAAAATTCTATTAAAGATTTAGTAATATTCATGAGCTATAAATGGCCACACAAACAATTATAAAGGATAAGACCAGTACAAGGATACTGCTTCGTGCTCAATATAAAATATAAATGTCCAATTTTCCCATCCTTCAGTATAAATAGGATGAATTAAAAGTCATTTATAATGCTAAGAAAAATAAAATAAGTAAGCACTTGATGATTTTATACAGACATACAAATACACTGAAGTCAAGATAATGAGGGGAAAAGTAAAGAGAAATCAACAAAAATGTGATGTTAATTCCAAGAAATGCAACGTAACTTCTTTTCTAGTAAGGAGCACACTAAACTCTCTTGATGCTATTATTAATTGAAAAACGTATTAAGTAAGTTTTGTGAAAGAATTCCTACACTACTGTCGTCAGTTTTACAAAATCAAAGTAAAAACCGTCAGTCCTAAGGTAGGCAGGAAAAGGAGTAACTTCTAAAAGGTAAAGATGGGATGTATTTTTTTTTACATTCTCCCATGTCATTATCTAGCGTTTGAAATGGTGGTACAGTCCTTCACTTAGGATACCCGTAGTAAGTAGGCTGAACACTCATTCTTATTCTTCCAAAAAGTCAGAGTGTGTCCTTGTTCTACTGAGGAATTTCTCCAACTCAAAAAACTCTTCACCTCACAAAGAGCTTCTCAGAAATACATAAAATGCCTTACTTTGCAACTTCCCCCACTCACTTCAAAAAACCACCAACCTCCCTACTCTCTTTCTGGTGCGGTAGCCCTGATCCGAAACTGGATTACAACTGGATTAGATTCAGATCAGTCCCTACGTGTGTGACCTTGGGCACTTCACTTATCCCCTCAGTTTCTCATCAGCATCTGAAAACTGTGTCTTTGAAAACAGAACGGGTGTAAAGATACCTTTGGAATTACACCTAAGAGGGTGAAGGTTTTCTGCTTAGAGGCAAAATTACCTCCTTAGAAGGGCCACATCATGAAACTGGAACTGAATCCGTAGCTCTCTGTTAACATATGACTCTTCTTTTACAGTTCTCCTCTTCTTTCAAAGGGCATAACCTGAGTCACCCTAAGAGCAGACTCCCAAGCGCCCCTTTCCTCCTCTTCTCCCCTATCCTACTTCTAAAGCAGGGGGAAAACAGCAGCCACATCTCCCCGCCCCAAGCCACACCTTCAGAGGACCCCACCCCAGACACATCCGCCCTCTCCCTTCTCCAGGGGCACCAGAGGCCAACCTCGCCCTTCCCCTCCCGCCCCCACCTAGAGGAGACTTCCTGGAGGCGTTCAGGCCCGAGCAGGGTAGGCAGCATTTACAAACCCGCTTTACGCCACTCGCGTAGGGTAACCTCGCTTACGCCCATAGGGCCCCGTTCCCAGCCCCGTCCGCTCCGCCTGCCAGAGCCAAGCCCGAGTGCCTCGGCCACGGCCCCTGTGTGACCCCAGACCTCCTCTGTTCCGCTGGGGGCTACAGAGACTGAGGTAGAAGAGCCACACCTTACCGGCAACTGGGGCACTGACTTCACTTCCCACCTTTGGAGCCCTCTTCAACTCCCGGATCAATTCACTCCGGCGACGCCGGAAGGACCCGAGAGGAACCAGGCGTTGTCCGGAATCCTGCCCAGCCGGAGTCGCGCAGGGGCCTATGGGGACTCGTAGTCCCACTCGCCAGCTTCGTCGGCAATTTCTGCAAAAGCAAGACTACAATTCCCGGCAGGTCATGCGGTAGAGCCTAAGGCGATGGGTGGGGACACTTCTAGCCAATAGCAAGAGAGTTCCCCGCCTTTGCGGGAGGAGGTGAGACCGAGAGAGAGGGTGTTCAAAAGGAGGAGGAAGGGAGGGGTCAGCTCTCACCTGCACCAATCAGGGTGCCGGGTCGGCCCTGCAGGCGACTCACCCATTGTGGGGGCGGGCTTGCAGAGCAGAGGAAGTAAGGGGGTTGGGGGGAGAGCTTGAGGCGGGTAACGTGGGGCGGCAGAGCTGTGGACGCTGCACCAGAGGGCGGAAGCACCGGGGGAATCGCTGGCGTAGAGAGAGGGAGCGGTGCGGGGATGCGTCCTGGCCGGAGGAGCAGCTTCCCTGAAAGTGGACCAGCCCCAGGCACACCAGGCGGCCAGACCTGAGGGTCGTCAGGAAGGGATAGTGTGAGCCTGGGTTTCTGGAGGCGGCGCGCGGGCGTGATAGGAGGCAGCTGCAGGTGTGGGGCCACTGACTGAGAAGAGAGGAGTTCCCAGGGGAAGGGAAGCGGCAGAACAACTGCAGAAGTGCAGGGAGCGGGAAGGTACTAGGGCAGCAGCTTCCCGCCGCCACCAGCCGGGGCAGCAGCAGGAACAGCAGGGGGAGGAGCAACAGCTGCTGAATTCTCCAACTAGAGGAGGGGGAGGCGGAGCTTGGGTCCCTGTGGCAGCCGGAGGCGCAGTCTGGACTCTAGTTTCCCGGGAGAGAGGAGAGCTGGAGCACGAGCGGAGCGGAGCGCAGTCCTCCGAGCATCAGCTCCAGCATCCCGCCAGGGGTTGCAGGTGTGTGGGAGGTAAGCGTGGGTGCTGCTTCTTCTGGGCGTCCTCACACTGCCCAGGAGAAAGCGTCTTCCAATAGGAATTGTATCAAGGCACAGCTAAGAGTCCCTGACTCGGGTTAGGGAACTGATGCGAATCCTTTTAGATTAAAGATGTACATTTTGGACTTTGTAGTGGGGAGAAAAAGCAAAAGGTGGCTTGGTTCTGAGTATTAAGGGCGTGGTTGGTGTTTTTGGTGTGAGTTATACCATTAAAACTGTTCTGGGAGATCTTAAGGTTGAGGGAAACCCTGCTAATTGAGGATAAGGAGGATGATATCTGGATAGGTGTGTAGCTGGTAAAAAAAACCCAAAATTTTGTCGTTGATATAGAATTACTTCAGAACTCTTTTACTAGGAAAATAACTTTGCATTCTTCTTCAGTGTCTACCCTGTACGTTGTTTTATCAGATTGTCCTGCTATCGACCTGGTTTCCAGGGTGGTTTACTGCAGGTTCCTAAAATTGAAAGAGATTGGTACTAAGGAAGCAAATGCAGGCAGGAATAATCAAGATGACTAGACCTATCAGAAGTATAACTTTGCCAGCAATAATGTAAAAACGTTTTAATGGATGGATACTTAGCTTTCCTTCCAGAGGCTCTAGAATATTGGAACAAAGACCAGGACTCAGCCTCCAGTGGAAACATATGGTGTACTTCATTGCTGCCCCTTATTCTCTCATTTGGGTCTGATAATAATTGTACATTTTAAAAAACTAAAGTACAAGAAAAACTGTGAGGATCTTTTCTGTTTAGGGAGTGTGTGCCAAAGGATTACCCTTGGTATGTGCTGTGATGTGTTTAGGCTTAAAACACATGTAATAGTGTCATAAAATCATAGTTTATTCTTGGTGTTAAGCCATGTGCAGTTTCTTTGAATGTTATTAAATACCTGTGGATGAAAATATGCTTTAAGGTAAAGGTGAAAGTCACACCTCCCTTTGTGTAACTATCACAAAATAGCAGCCTTTCTTTTTAGAAAAGTATGTAAATAGCTTTTTCCTAGTCATTTTCTTTTTGTTACAGAGGTCTTTCAGATTACATGGCTTTTAATCATAGTAGCATACTGCAGCACATTTTGCTCTGAAATGCTTTCATTGTGACAATTGTGTATTTCAGGATCTGGGCAAAAATAATCTGGATTTTCTTTTTTTAAAGTAGGATCAATACAATGGGGTAATTACCTTCTATTTTTTGTTTGTTTGTTTTCAGGCTTTTCTCATTTACTTAGGATTTTTGGATTTTATTTTTGTAACACAAGCAAAATTCCTTTTTGAAAAGAAATGGCCAGAAGGAATTCTTTTCATAGATTAAAGTTCTGTCCTACCGAGTGCTACTACTGATAAGCCTAAAAGACTTATCAGTGTACTTACTCCCCTCCAGCACCCCCTGCCACATTTGTAGACACCAGAGAAAAATACAGATGGACAGATCTTAGAAAAACATCTGCCTTTAGATTGTCCCCAAGCAGATCATGTATTAGAAGCAGCAGAAAGCTTGGTATAAAGAAAAAGCAACAGTAGCCACTAAACTTAGCCATGGTAAGGATCTGAGTTTATCTTTACTATATCACGGGAGAGTCTATTAATCCACATAGCTGATGAGACCCTATGTAAATGATTTTAGGAGAAAAAAAATGGGTATGGAGTATTAGTGAGGCTTGGAAAAGATTGTGTTTATCCTTATTTGTGATTAAGTGGATTGCTCTGAGTCAGAGTCTTAGAGTATTTCTTAGTCTCTGTCCCTGATTGATTTTGTGAAATAGAACGCTTGCTGTCACTACTTTATTTACCCCATGTAATAATAATAATTAGTAATAATATTGGCAATGAAGTTCTTTCAGAGCCTTTATTAAAAGATCTTTTGAAAGAGTTTGGTTGAGAATCAGTTAATAATCAAGTAAATGGGATAGAAAAAAATATCAAAACAGCTGAAATTCAGATGTACTTGGAATCCCAACTATTTCTGGGTCTTCTGCTCTGAGGTATCATAAAGGATAGACTCTCATTAGGAGTGAATGAGTTTGTGGTATTAAAGTATTGGATGTTTTGCCTGCTTCCAAGATTTGGATCCTCTTTAATTTGTCAGTGAAAGAGATTGGTTTCCTGTATCATTTGGGAGTAAGAGCATGTTTTTATAAGGGAGAAAATCATTAGCAATATATATAGTACTTCGATATTTGTGACTTTGAACTTGTCTCAAAAGATTTTAAATTGGTGTTCATTTTAAATCTCAGATAATCTGAAGACTTCTTGACTCTATGTTACTGGTGTTGAGATGATTCCATATGTGACAGTTTATAATTTTATGTAAAGTTCTTCTTAGGTTAAAAGCATATTATTTATTCTGCCCTTGATTTTTCCTGTTTGTGTATGACTATTAGTGAGCATATGATATGATGAGAAAGAAAAACCAACGGAGTGCAGAATGTCTCTCTGGACAATGCTCTGGGGATCACTGTTCTTTAGCCAAAAGATTTGGTTAATTTCAAATTATAATATGTTTTGAACTTTTTTTAAATTCAGATTTCTGACTCTAAGCTTATTGACTGAAAATAATTGAGTAGCGTGGATTTCTCATTCTAACAGGAGGATTCACTGATGCATGCAGCATGAAAGAGTGAGACTTAAAGATTCAAGATCACATGTTTTTGGTGTGTTGGGAGGGTGATTTATAGAAGGGGATAGATATGAAAAATTGAAAAATACTATTTGATAAACAGTTTGAGAAACTGTCCTTAGCAAAAGAGTAACAAGATTTGATCTGTTTTGTTAAATGCCTGTAAGTGGTTCCATGCCTTTTTTCCCCAATCATTTCTAGAAGCCTAATACCTATAGTTGGAGACAGTACTTTCCTGTGTTGTCATTTTATTTTATTTTATTATTTTTTATAAGGATTTTTTTTTTTTTAATTTATTTAACAGACAGAGATCACAAGTAGGCAGAGAGGCAGGCAGAGAGAGAGGAAGAGAAGCAGGCTTCCCCCTGAGCAGAGAGCCCCATGCGGGGCTGGATCCCAGGACCCTGGGATCATGACCTGAGCCAAAGGCAGAGGCTTTAACCCACTGAGCCACCCAGGTGCCCCTGTGTTGTCATTTTAAACTGGAGTTAGACTGACATTAATTCATTAGATTTTAAGTAATCATGGGTTATTAAAGCAAAGCAAAAACGATCTTCTGTGTATACATTCATTTCTGAGTGAATGAATTATTTGGATGAAATATTAAAAAGAAGTAAAAATGTAAAAGGCAGTTCTCCCCTTCATAACAGAGATCCTGAACCAGACCCTAAAGATGAGCAAGAACACTTCCCACCCCTTTCTACAGCAAACTTATAAGGTTAAATAGTGCTTTGGGGGACGAGGGTTAATTATTATACAAAGGTAAGGATTTGTTTTTGTTTTGTTTTCAGTCTTCTAATGTTTCCAAAATTCAGTCCTTAAAGTTGGGTAAGTGTATTTTAAGTAACTAAATTATTGGCTCCTGGAGACGAGATACTTCTTTCCTATCTCCTGCTTGTTCTGAGCATCCTGTGTCACGCTCAGCATGAAGTGGCCCTAGGACTGCTTACTGAATTAGAACTACTGACTAAGACTTTTTTAATATACACATTAAGACATTTTGCATTTTGACAGACAAGAGTTAAGTTGACCTTAGAATTCTAATTACTATGCATTAGGCTTTCTGAGAATGTCTTTGTGCTGATTGGCCTTTGCAAAAGTGTCCATTGGGTCCAATTTTATTTAGATGGTGTGGACTACGAAGACTGATCTATAGTTTTCTGTGCCAACATTTCTAAATTCATTCCACAGATAGGGAATATGGATGAGGGGAAAGGACTCTCCCACTGGTGTCAAACAAGGTCTGTGTTTTCTAGCCACGGAAGCATATGGCTCAACATCATTTTACCTAAATAAGATACCTTTGTTGAAGCTTACTCATGAAACACATATTTCATTCCATAAAAGCTAAATTTGTTCTTCTATTTTTCTGATCATTTCTTAAAAGAAAGAAAAAAAAATAAAAACAAGAAGAAAGGAAGTAGAACTGTGTTTAAGCTTGGGCATTTATTGTCTTTTGCGTTCAACCTTCCAGAACCAAATTAATCTGATTAGTGTTAGCATGAAGAATTCAAATGTTATTTTCCTTTCATTATTATAAGACCTGGAGAATTTGAGTTAATTATAGATAGTTTTTTAGTAGTAAATTTAATAATAGCAGATATTTAACTGCCTTTTCTTTGCTTTTTAACGTCTTTCTAGCATGCAAATAGAGAGTGGCTTAGAATTGGTGATTGATTAACCTTCCTTCTTCATGTTCTTTGGCATTACTCTTCATGCTTAGCATTGTGTCTTGTATTAGAGTTAGCTGAATTCATAACTGTCTTCCTCACCAGATGCTTAGTGACTTCAGAACTGAGTTTCGTTTACCTTTCTATTTAAGAGCCTTATATAAAGTCTATACTTAGTAACAAATTTTAAATATTTGACAGTCTGTAATGAAACATCATTTTCCATTTTTCACAAACAAGTACAACTAGAAGAGTGAATTTTTCATAGACATCTGTTTTAACATCCAATGCAGCCCTCTGCCCACAACACTTGCTTATATTGAGCTAAATATAATATTGGTGTCTACTCTTTGACTTTGTGAACGAATAGAGCAAACATCACTATTAATTGCAACCTTGCGTATGAATGTACCTTAAATATAAATTTATTAATTGTATGCCTTTTGGAATTTGGTCCTCTTTGCCTCTAAAGTTTTGCTGACTTAAAGATGTACTTTTAAGTAACATTCCCTGCACATTCATATGCACACTTTCTACGACTGTTTTTTTCCTTGACACAGAAATAGAGACTTAGGGAAAAACAGAGAAATGTAATATGAGGCTTTATCTTAACTAAAATTTAACTGGTCTTAGATGTTCAGCATTTAATGAAATGGTTACATTGGAAGGCCTGATTCAGGCTTCTTA